CGCCAAGCTGGAAGTATCTGACCGCAATTATGACCCTAGCTCAGTCCAGTGCTCAGTCCACAGAGTCCTGTTGTGAGTATGCTCTCGCCAAATGCGAGAAAAATTCAAATGGCACGCGGAAGGGACCTCGACCTCGGGGGCCTCTGTCCCAGTTAACTGCATTGCTCCCTTTCTGACCGTCGATTCCGGAGATCCACAGCCAAACAGAATGAAGAATCCAAGAAAGTGGGACTTTTACACGTCCCCGCGGGAGTCGAACACACAATCAACGGCTTGTCAAATCCGGCAAAGTGGGACTTGACCTCGGGCCGTGCCTTCAGGCCGCTGATCGGCGGGGGTCTGACTCCCAAGTGGACGAGTGTGTGTGGTCGCGCGGGGACTACAGTACTGGTGTCGCCGCACTACTCACCAAATGTGATGTACGAAGGCTGCACTTGGTAGGCACCAAATGTGGGAAATGAGCCTTTTTTTTTTAATTTACAAAAAACAAAAAGTGGGAAATGGCGGGATGTAGAGACACCCGCGCCGTAGTAATTTTTCGACTGAACTTGGGGTCTCGCCGCGCGGCACACGAAACGAAAACGAAACGAGTGCATCCGCCCACGAGAGTGCTCAAAATACACTGGTTATTATTTATAGCGAACCGATGAACCTGGCCATTTTCCGTAGGGAAAAGTCCCAGCTGTGATGACGGCATAGCTACGCCCAAGTACGTCCGGCAAAGTCTACAGTGTCTGTGGGGCTCGCCACACTGCTGTCGAAAGGCTGAAAATTTCGTCGGCTGTCAGAATAAATGTAGATAAATTAGACAGCCGCCCTCTCTACAGTTTGCCCCCCTTTAGCCACACAGCACTGTAGAGCGGACGCACTTGTGACTGCAAGATGGAAAAAGACGAACACCCCTGAGGGTACTGCAAAAACGTTGGTCCATCTGGGGCCAAGTCCCACTACGGTAGCAGCGTTGAGCTACCTCAACGCCTGAATCTGGACGCTTTTGCGGACATGGGCAGAAATAGTGTTGAGTTTCCTGAACTGCGCGTCTCCACAAACACGTCCAGATTCAGGCGTTGAGGTAGCTCAACGCTGCTAGTGGGACTTGGCCCCTGGACACGCCCACTCACCAAACCAAATTTCGAGGCGGAGAAGTCGACCGCCCAGCCTAGGACTGTCGAAAGCATCGGAGTAGCGGCCTGCAGGGGCCAAGTCCCACTAGCAGCGTTGAGCTACCTCAACGCCTGAATCTGGACGTGTTTGTGGAGACGTGCAGTTCAGCAAACTCAACACCATTTCTGCACATCTCCGCAAAATTGCCCCCAGGCTGGGTGGGGATTCAACAGCTTTTGGATTCGGAAGGAGGTGTCGTGTCGAGGAGCATGCTCTGTCTGATCTACCAACTTGCGCGAATTCTTTTCCCGGCCC